CCTTCAGCATCTGTAGGTTCAATATTCCTTGGCGATCTCCACATGTCTTGGTATCCATCTTCCCCTGGATCTAGGAGCTTCCCAGTGCAGGAATCCCAGGTCCAAAGGGCGAACTCCATTCCTGGTTCTACATTCATAGTGGTAGTAGGTCTCTCTTAACTCTGCTTACCTTTTAATATCTTTATATTTCAAAAAAGATTGACTCAAGATCCAACATAACCTTATAGATTACATCTGGTTTCACTGGGATCATATAAGTGAGGATATACAACACATAGGAAAATTACATCAGATTATGGTTGATAGCATGAAATCACAGGAGATCACATCATAGAAGAAGTGATTATTTTAAATTAGTTCTTATTATGGAGGATTGTGATTGTTGTTAAGTGCTGTCGAGTCAGTTCTGACTCACAGTGTTTGGGTTTCCAAAAAGGAGCCAGTGGGTCTGAACTGCCAAACTTATGGTACGCAATCCAGTCTAAACCACTAAACCACTGAGAATCTAGGCCTAGTCAAGTTGACACAAAGCCATAGCTATCACATGATCTTATTGCCTCACTGCAGAATTCTATCAAACATTTGTAGAAGAAATTATAGCAATCCTTCTTTGTCTTTCAAAAAGTGAAAGAAACACTTCCTTACTTAGTGTATGAGGCTAGCACCACTCTGATGCCTAAGTCAGAGTAAGACACCACAAGGGAAAACAAAAAACTGCAGACTAATATCCCTTATGAACGTAAGATTCTAAATTCCTCAACCAAATGCTACTAATTATAAACTAATACTACAATAAAAGGATTAAACACCATGATAAAGTGGGACTTATTCCAGGAATGCTAGGGTAGTTCAATATTTGAAAACTCACCAATACCACATTAAGAAAACAAAGGAAAAGAACTAAATTACCATCTGAATCAATACAAAGACATTTGTCAAAATACAACACCCTTTCATGATAAATATATCCAACAATCTAATAATAGAAAGAAAATCCCTCAATATGATAAAGAGCATAAAGAAAACCCCACAGCTAATATCAAAGTCAAACAAGGAAGACAAAGAGCTTTTCCATTAAGATAGGGAACTAAACAAGGAGAGACTGGCTCTCACCAATACTTCTTCAATATTGTGCTGGCAGTCTTAGCCAGAACAATTAGGCAAGAAAAAGTACTAAAAGATACCCAAATCAGGAAGCCAAGAAGTAAAACAATCTGTTTTTGACAATGGCATAACTCGCTATAAAGAAAATTCCCACAGAACCCACAGGAGAGCTACTAGAGTTAATGAATTAATTAAGCAAAGTGGCAAAGCATAAGGTCAACACACAAAAATTAGCCCAGTTTCTAAACATCAATAATGAACAATTTGAAAAGAAAATTAATGAAACAATTCCATTTAATGATAAGTCCCATCTAAAAGAATAAAAATATCTATGAATAAATTGAACGAGGGAGACAAAAGATTTGCACACTGAAAACTTAAATTGCTAAAGAAATTACAGAAAACCTTTATAAATAAAACCTAAATGAATGGAAAGACACTCTGTTAATGGTTGGAAGATTTAATACTGTTAAGATGACAACAGTATCCAAAGTGATTTATAGATTCCATGCAATTCCTATGAGTATAATATTTCAACAGTTTTCTTTGCAGGAATGGAAAATCCAATCCTCAAATTCATATGGAACTGAGGAAACCTTGAACAGCAGAGTACTCTTGAAAAAGAACGAACACTTATATTTTCTGATTTGAAATTGTACTAACAAGCTATAGTAATTAAAATGGTCTGGTACTTTTCTAATAATAGACATGTAGAATAATGCAATAGAACTAAAAGTCCAGAAAAAAATCATAAATCCATGGGCAACTGACTGTGAACAAGGATGCTAAATCCATTCCAGGAGGAAAGAAAAGTATTTGCAATAAATGGTGTTGGGCTCCCAACAAAAACAAGTCCAGGCATTGGTTACCCAAAATGGGGGGTGCTACAAAGGCAAGAAGTGACTGGCTTACAGTCTTTCAAGAGGGAACGTAGATACACAAGGTGTGAAGGAAGATAGAATCTCCACTGAGTAGTATACAATCTGTCTAGGCAAGACTGATGAAATGAAATACGGATGGGTCTCTTGTGAGACAATAGTGAATAACTGTTATCAGGACTGCTTGTGAGGGTTGGAAATGTAAAGGTAGACATTTTGTAGCAAGGAGGGGAATGATTAACTCTTCAGCCTAGGAGAGGAAATCCCTGGGATCATCAAGGGAGAAGAGCAGAGAGCAGGACCCCACCCAGAGAAGCAGTGATTTCAGAAATGGAGGCAGAGATGATGATGTGGAGAGATGGAGCAGTTGGGGATTTGAGACCCAGATAGAGAGAGGGGCTGTGTGCTGACGACCGGGGTGGGGGGCGGCGCAGGCTTTCAGGATATACCCTTTGGTTGGTTGATGATGCATGGAGGGGATTGTAACTATGGCAAAGAAACAATATATGATAGGATGAATGTAAAACTAATGTTCTCCCATGTACACTATCACATAATTCATAATAAAACAAACAAACAAAAAAAAAACAAGTCCAGGACCAAATGGCTTTACTGGTGAGTATTAACAAACATTCAGAGAAGAGCTGA